AGCAAATTTTGTGTGCCATTTAACAGAAAAGCTATGCAGTTTGCAAACTATAGCATGGAGGTCTGTAGTTAAACATTTTTATTCCTTTCTTATTTATTATATTTATCTATTTACACAATAACAAAAATGATGAACAAAAAGCACAAATAAATATTTCACATTTTTATTGACTATAAGGAATGAGATCAAAATAGTTTTATGCTCTGTAAAACAAAATTTAAGGCAGCCTGGCAATATCTATCAAAATTAAAATCATGACATTTTAACTCAAGAAATTGTAATATGATCTATGAATTGGCCTATGAATTGTACAGAATATTTTGATGTATAACTATCATGGAATATATTCATTGAATATTATTGGCATATGTGAGATAAAAACTACTTATTAAGAAAAAACTATTTATTATAGAAAAGAAATTCTAAAAAAAAAAAAAACTAAATTAAACCTGCATTGCAATTTTGTTTTTTGCAAGACAGGTTTGGAAAAATATCTAAATATCCTTCAGTTAAGTAAAACAGTTCAATAAATTTTACTACAAATCTAAAAATCCAGTGTAGCCACAAAACAGAATAAAAACATCACTTATTTTTAAGATTTCATGATATGTTCAGGAGTGTTAAGTAATAAGGTTAAAATTTTGTACATTTTGTATAATATTCTAGAAAGTATGTAAAAACCTTTTGTTTGTACATGCCTAAAACAATCTCAGAAGTAGAATAGTTTTTTTTTTCAGTGCACACGTTTTCTTTTTTCCTTTTTAATTTTGAACTATGTGAATATACTACCTTTTCTTAAATATTTCATTTTAAATAAATAAAATATTAAAGCATTCATATTAAATATTTTAATATATACACATATATTGGTAAAGATAAAAAAAAAATTCTCAGTTGTGTCTATTATGGGATTCTCATTATCAGCTCTGTAAGCTATGGAATTTAAGAGAAGAATTCTTGAAATATTTATTATATCAGATTTAACAAAAAAAGTAAACATCAAAACCTGATGGGTGCAAGGTATCGTGGTTTGGGGGTATAAAATTAAAATAAAGATCCTATGTCCAAGAGAACACAATTAAATGGAAGTACCAGATATGTTTATATGAAAGCTAAATTGTAGTAAAATTTGAGAACAAAACTATTAAATTTTACTATATATTTCAAAAATCTTCCTGTGTTGCCATGAAGTGTTGGGTTTACATAATTACTAAAACTTTCTAGCATCTTATTTTTTATCCTAGTTTATGTAAATTACTAAGCTATCATAAGTATATTCATTGTATAATATGGGCATACATGAGATTTTAAAAACTACTGATTAAAAGGCTATGAAAAAAATTCTAAAGAAACCTCCATTAAACATCTATTTGATGTCATTTATTGTTAAGATTTTACAAAATCTTCCTCTAGTCAGAAATCTAATGTTTCCCTTAAAAATCACATAGAGACTACAGGTAGCCATGTTAGTAATTAATTAAATGTTTCAAAATAACTTGGTCTATCCCAATTGTTTTGTATTATCTGCCATTTCATTTTCTACTCATATTTTAAGCAAATGGTTTTGAATATACAGTAATGTCTGCGAACTACATACTTTTTGTTGTTGTTTAAATATGCAAACACATGAGACTGATGGAAGATCTATAATGTCCCCCAAATGAAAAGCAGAAAATCAGACAGAAGAATTCAAAATAGAACGACAAGTTTAGAAGGCTGAATGACATACAAAAGGATACAATAGCAATCATATATAGTCTAATAACTCATTTACATTTCCCTTTTGCTTCAAAAGTGGATCCAGAATTTGTAGAATTTAAAAGCTTATGTAATTGGAGGGATAAGGGGTAGGGAAATGAATCAGGTCAAAAATAAAATCAATAAATTTACCAATGCTTTAGGTGCAGGGCCTTAGAAGGTGTTCTATCATGGAGCTTCCTGAATTTAAGCCTATTTGCTTCACAGAGATTTATTCTCCTCCTCTTAACAAACTGGTTTCCTGAAACTTCATTCTCTGTTTTAGTCTGATAACTTATTTGGGTTGGGGGAGGGATGTAAATATCAATAAAGTCATGGGTAATTAAAAGTTTTCCATCTCACTACCGAGGTTACACTCCCATTTATTAGATTTTTTCCACTTGAGATAGTGAAATTAAATCTGCCATATATTAAATGTGCCATATCAGATTCAGTGGAACAGACCAGAAATTTCTTCTCATAGAATATAGCATCTTGCAATGCAATTTACATACTTTTATTTTCGCCTACATGTGGAAATTCAATAATAATTTTATTCATTCCTCACTAGTGGTTTGCTGTAGCAGTTCTGACAATTAATTCTCCTACCATTGAGCATTTATTAATATTATAACTCTTTCACAGAGTTCCCTTCTGTTCAGTCTTGACTGCAGAGATATGCTGAATTTCTCCTGATAGTCAAAAAAAAGAGAGACATTTCTAAGTTTCCTCTCTTTTATTATGCCAGGGGTGGAAACCAGCTTCAGTTAATTCTGGAAACCATGTTATCTTACTCTCAAAACAGGGAAAATGATGGGGAAGAGAGGAGGCAGAAGTTCTGAGAAGCATCCCCTGGTTATTGTTGCTAGGGCAACTGCTACTTGGCATCCTCCAAATAGTCATCGTCTGTCACACTTGGGGTATAATTCACAAGCATGCAACACATTTGAGTGGATCTTAAAAAAAATAGTGGGGCAGGGGGTTAGGATTCATGTAAATAAATGAGAGAATTTTAAATAGGCATATAAACTAAAATGCATGCCTAATATTTAGAAAGAGGAGAGAAGATAGGCACATCTTGATAATGTGTCATTGCTAAATATTACTGTTTCATATTACATAAATTAGCTTCTACTCAATCCCAATAATTGTCTACCCATCTGCCTTCTTTTATGAGAATCCCTTCTTCCTTCAAATAATAGTCTTCTGTAGTATGACTTCAACTAAATATATACAATGATTTAGATTCTATTTTCCTTTTCACAATCCTAAGAGAGCAAAGAGTATTTTAAAACTCTTTATTGTTTACCAGGCTGTCTGACTTAGAAGCCTGCCTGGCTTTGTTAAAAGAGAAGACAAGATATTTATTACCCAAATAATCATTGACAAAAACAGCCATGACTCCTAAAATACTACTGGCTAAATCTAAATTGTACATTTCATTTTTCTTATGTCTTCATCCCTTAGAGCCAGGGTGCCTGCTTAGCCATGCTAATCACTGTCTTTTTTAATGTTAAAATTATTTTATACATGGTAAAAGAAAATAGAGATATCACTGCTTGAATCATATAGCAGAAAGGAAGGCTTAAAAATATGTAATCAAAGTCCATAAAAACTTGACAGTTTCAACTTCTTAGCATTTGTTCATGTCAGCATCATAAAAACATGAAGAAAATCCATATTGATGCACCACATTTACAACTGGGCTTAATAGCAAGTGGATTTGGGGGAAGTAAGTGGGAATAAGGAGAAAGAATTTTAACCAATTTCACTGAATGAATACCAAAAAAAGCATAATGTATTAAAGAGGAAGGAATAAAAATTGAAAAAAAAAAAAAGCAACTACTGATAGTGGTTTCACCAATACCTTCTCCCTGCCCTTAGACTGATAAAATCCTCTCCTGAAAGCCAATACATATTTTCATCTAACCAAGATAATGAAACTATACATGCAAGCAAATAAAGAAAAAATACTTGTTTAATTATTAGACCTAACATCACAAGTTGTTGTTTCAACAAAATCAGCTGCTTTACCTATCATTTGTACTGGAATAGCCCAAAGTTTGTGGAACCAAACACTCACTAGTTGAAACTCCAGAATAGAAATAATCAGATAATGAGGGCCAATAAAAATGATGGGTTGCTTTCGCTAAACATTTACCATATGCCAGTAACTATCTTAAATACTTTATAGGTATTAGTTCATTTAATGCTCATATTACAAGATGCTGACATTATTATTATTTTGCAGATTAAAGAATTAAGTCACATAGAAGTTACTTAACAGCTCAAATCTGCATGACAAGGAAAGGCAATACCAGACCAGAATTATTCTTTTTTTATTATTATATGATAGCATCATTTTGCTGTAGTAAATAGCTATACTTTAGTTACATTTTCTGCCACATGCTTTTTGGGGGGTTAAATGCCTTGAATAGTAGACTATTTGAATTTAGCTTTGCTATGCTTTGTACTTAAGAAATCGGCTGCTGGACAAACATGTCCTATTCCCCCACCCACCCACATACACATATGCACACATGAATAAATTACTCTTTGATGATTCGTATGCTTTATTTCTCATTCATGCAGAATAGAATTGCCCAAAATCGTGTAACATGTGCCCTGCTACTAAGGATAAGACTCTACTGAATATAAGTTTTGAACATGTTCAAAACAAAAACTGAATCTTGCTAATTTCTATATCTGCTTCCCAAATTAATACCAGATGGTGTTCCTCATACAAAAAAGATTTCAATAACAGATTGTACATTAAATAGTATCATAACAAAGAAACTTGTTTTTTATTTGCATTAGTGAGTATATTAGTCAGGATGGGATAAACTGCACTGCACTAACAAACACACACAAATCTCAATGACTTTTTAATAACACAAGTTAAGCTTTCACTTACCTTTTGAAGGTTAGCATGGAAACTCTGCTTATCATAGTCATTCATGTTTTAAGGTTGATGGATTCTCCAGTTGGCACATAATTTCATGTGAGTGACACAGAAAAAAGGAAATATGACAAAATCTATTTCAAGAAGGAGGGATGTGGAATTGTTTATTGACAGGAAAGGAGAGATGTACAAGAATCCTGTAAATAGCCCTGATGACTAATTGCAAGCGACCTTGTCTTTCTTTCTTTTTATCTAGAGTGTTTCATTCAGCTATTTTGATGTGAGGACTAAAAAAAAAAAAAAACTAACAAGATCAAACGTAGAAGAGGAAAAGTTTATTTGGGGGCTTATAGATTCAGAGGTCTCAATCCATGGACAGCTGGATCCATTCCTCAGGGCTTGAGGTGAGGCAGAACATCATGGCAGAAGAGTGTGGTAAAGGAACGCAGCTCACATGATGACCAGAAAACAGAGAAAGAGAATGCACTTGACAAATACAAAATATATACCCCAAAGCCATGTCCCCAATGACCCAAATCCTCCAGCCACAACCTACCCACCTTCAGTTACATCACATTCCTACCTACTGCCATGATTTATTCACCTTTTTCCCCCTTTCTAGAATATCATCAGTGTTTTGCCATTACCTTCTAAAGCAAGTGCTGACTGAGTAAAGAGAAAGTTGTCTCAATCCCTTTATGACTCCTGTTATATACTCCCTTTTAGGAAAGTTTGTCTTGGTACTAGCAACATTCTCCCCATGACATTTGTGAATAAATCATGGCAGTAGGTAGGAATGTGAGTTGAGATTCTGTTATTCCTATAGTAAAATTTGAACATACTATATCTTAACAACACCTTTGTTTAAGCCAATATAGCTTTTATTCATTATTAAGAGATTTTCTTAGTAGAATTTTAGTTTGTATTTATCCAGTTTACATAATTTGTACATAGGATACTTTTATACCATCATTCATTGTTATTTGATTTATTCATAGCACAAAATCTTTCTTACATTTTAGTCTTCTGTATGCTGTGTAGATTATTTTTGATTGTATATCAGTAAATTCAAAATCTCTAGGAATGATTTACAAATATCATAACTTTCATCAAAAGTGTTACTATATGCCATATCCTGTCTTATAGGGCATGTCTACATTACTCCAGGACATTGAGAAGCACCTATTTGCATGGTAAGTGAGAATCTTCCTTGGGGAAAAAAAATCTATTATTGGAGTAACATGAATCCTGCAATACTGACTTCGACCAAGTTATAAGACCTTAATTGTCAGAAAGGAATAGAGATTTTGAGTGCAGTGTGAGATGGCTTTTGTAAAAATCCAATGCAGGGCCAAGGACTTGCATGCATAGCTATATATTAGAAAGAGAGAAGGGTTGAAGTACAATTTCCAAAAGAAAATGAAGTATACTCTGATGTTTCTCTATAGTATTGTGAAAAAAGTATACTTTTAAGCTTCTTTACTATATATTTATAAAGGTGTATTTTAGGTTTCTCCATAGTCCATTTAAAAAGTGTACTTTTAGACTCCTCTCTTCAGAGCATAAAAGAATGAATTTACTAAATATTACACACCAGGGCTCAAGATACTATGCTCAGATCTCACAAAGAGGAGAGGACTTTTCTCTAAATCCTCCATGATCTTCACAGAATCACAGGATCCCATGGGCTCAAGGAAAAATTGAAAGAAATATCTCTGCCACCCAGAACAACAGAGGAACAAATGCAGTGGAATCAATTTGTGCTAGTGCATGGTACACCACCAGGTGGAATGGCAGAGGTCTACTTTTCAGGCAAGATTGAGGCACCCCTCAGAAATGAGATGTTACATCTGGGTTGCATGGAACAGAAAAGGTATCCACCTCACCCGGTGAGCAGGAAATACTCATCAGAAGATAAAATGCTCTGCCTAAAACATGGGCAAGAAATGGAAGAACATTTCAGAATAGGAAGTTAAAGTACATGTGTTAGAATGGTAATGTTCTTTCTTTTTAATTTAGACAAGTGTATGATCTCATGTGTACTCAAAGTCTGGTGAGGCTATAAAAGTTCAAATTTACTAATCTGAATATTTTCAAACTTACAAGAAATTTTGCTTTATATTATACTGTATATTTATTAATGGCAGTTCAAGAGGTAACTTTTTAAAACTATAACTGTTTGAAAAGTGTAACAGAGGGTGGAATCTTTTCGAAAGATTATTTTGTGAAAATTTGTCCCAATTATGTTATGTGGATTATTCTGGGCTTAAGTCACAAGCACTTAAGCTGAGAGAGAGACAGAAGCCTTAAAGTACATTGAAATTTTTTATCTAACATTTTGTGTTTTCCCTGATCTTTTCTTTTATTATCTTTTGTCCTAATAATTTACTTTATGAAATCTTGAGGCTTTTTTGAAAATTCCTGCAAAGACCATACCAGATCAATAGTTGTTAATTTTCTTTGTTTACCTTTTTTTTTTTTTTGCTTTTTCTCTGAGTGTGTATGTGTGTGTGTATGTGTGCACACTCTCATGTGTGCACGCGAATACCAAATATTCTCAGTTGTAATACATCTTAAAGGAAGCCACAAATCCAAATAAGGAGGTGGAGAAATCTCTAAATCTCTTGTGAAGTGATAGTTTGAAAATAAACCCTCTTTACAGCATAAAATTATTTCCTAAGAGGTTTTCACATACTAGGAACTAAAGAAACATTTGTTGGGTGATTGAACCACATTTTTATGAATTTGATTTGGGTTTAAACTTAAAGCTCTTCTGATATGTTATCCCAGATGATGCATAAATTGCTTCTCTATTTCCCAAGAAACACATTCATTTCCTAGAACCAAGAAAACATGTGAATCCCACTACAACCTTAAGTTCTTTGATTCCAAAGTGTGTAACAGGAAAAGAATCCTACTTATGTTGAGTTAAAAATTTGCCTTGCTAGAACATCAACCATGATGTTTAGTGATTCTTTATAAAGCATACCAGAAAACACTTACCACCCAGCCTGCAAAAGATAACTTCAAATATTTAAAACAGTCAGTACATGTCCTCTCAGGGCTCTCTTTTCAGTTCAACATTTTCAGTTATTTCAATCATTCTTTCTCTACCTTCTACCCAACCAAGCCATTTTGCCCTCCATTTTATCTATAATGCTATGACCTCTTCATGAAGCTCTCAGTATACCTTTACCAGAATAAAGAATTTAAAACTTTTCTTTTTCATTTCTTATTACTATTAGTGTTCATTCATTTGATGATGTTTGGAATAATACATGTGAAAGTGCTTGGAAAAGAATTAGCCACATACAAAGATGTCTATTTTCTTTTATAGAAGAAGGAAATAAATTTTGGTTATTGTCATGGAATAACAGTTGTTTGACTTACTTTTTCACCATAAGCATCTATAAGATGGTGGTGTCATGCACAGAAAATGCATACTTGTGGGTCTGGGGTTGTACCTCCATGGTAGAACCTTTGCTTCATAGGTGTGAGACATTGGGTTTGATCCTCAGCAACAAATAAAAAAATAAATAAACAAAATAAAGGTATTGTGTCCACTTAGAACTAAACAAAAAAAACTGCATAGTTGTGATCCTTAAAAAAATAAAAGGAAAATATGACAGGTTAGCGCCACATTTGTTTCAATTTCTTTCCTAGAATATTCTTTAAACTGAGTCACAGAAAAGTGGAGAGAAGTACTGAACAATAATATTGCTAGGCAGTTAATCTGCATTCAGGAGGATTTTAAACTACTAATGTGACTGAAATTCATGGGTTAGAATATCAGGGAGAACAGAAGCCTACTAAGCATTATGAAATGCTTAGTTTGTGAGATTTCATGGGGTCTGTAAGAAACCTGAATAGACACTGAATGTAAACTGAATGAAAATTCTAAAGGGTTTAGAGTACTGGAGCTCCAACCAATAAGAAAAATAAATATCTCTGAAAACCACAGACTTTACTTTAGACTTCAACAAGACCAAATTTTAGGAGTAGTTCTATTGTGGACATACTCAAATCTTGACAAGATCAAGCTGATCTGTGTGTAAATTAATAACTTGCCAGAACAAAACTTCATATTTCAAAAGATATTACATAATTAATATTCTTGCAGTGTAGCATCAATGGTGTGCAGCACTCAAAACAAAGTATCAAATGTGAATAAATGGAGAAAATACAGAATATTCACTCGGTACAGAGAATATAACTTGGTTTCATAGATATTAGCATTATGAGATAAGAATCTTGAAATAGCTATGGAAAATATGTTGAAGAAATTAAAGGAAAAAATGGTTATACTAAGTGAACAGAAAAATCTCAGTAGGAAAATGACAACTATGAAAAGCATGTTTTAAAACTGAAAAATATTGTATCTGAATTTTTTTTAAAAAATCACAGATTGGGCATAATGAAGAAAAGATCAATGAATTAAAGACAGGTTATAAAAACTATCCAAATAGAAGCAAAAGCTGTAAATTAATGAAAACAAAAATACCTTAGTGACCTATAGCACAATATGAAGCAGAAGTGTATATGCGCAAAAAAATTCCTAAAGCTAACACCCCACATACTCAATAATCTCAAAATACCATAATAAACCCATAGGAAAGCATGCCTATACTGGTTTTCTGCTCCCAGGAGCAAATAACCCCATCAACAAATGGGCCAAGGACCTGAACAGACACTTCTCAGAGGAGGACATACAATCAATCAACAAGTACATAAAAAAATGCTCACCTTCTCTAGCAGTCAGAGAAATGCAAATCAAAACTACCCTAAAATACCACCTCACTCCAGTAAGATTGGCAGCCATTAGGAAGTCAAACAACAAGTGCTGGTGAGGATGTGGGGAAAAGGGTACTCTTCTACATTGCTGGTGGGACTGCAAATTGGTGCGGCCAATTTGGAAAGCACTATGGAGATTCCTGGGAAAGCTGGGAATGGAACCACCATTTGACCCAGCTATTGCCCTTCTGGGGCTATTCCCTGAAGACCTTAAAAGAGCAT